ACTTTTCCTAATCTTTCTTCCCAAAAAAAATTCCTTCACATATTGTACCAAAGCTTTTTTAGCCAAATATATTATACCAAAGCTAGGGGGCCATGGCACCTGCAGCTTACAACATAGCTTCGCCACTGATTTCATCCATCGCTATTATCTATCTATGTAAAAACAAAATAAACTACACAAAACCTAACAAAAATTGGATCTATCCATTTTTGTGGCATTTTCATCCATCTAATAAATTGAACTCATAACGATTATGAACACACATTAATAGAAATATATACCCTAACCCTAGTCAAACGCTCGTGTGCGTGTGCGTGGATGCTGCCGCGGCTATCCATGTGTGTGGTGGCCACGGCCGCGGGTGTCGAGGAGGAAAGCCAGCTGGAGAGAGAGGTTGGGATGGCGGGGATGGCGATATATTACCGAGTGGATGGCGATGTGGTGCGGATGGTCGGCGAGGGCGATGGAGGCAGCAGACGAACGGGTGGCGAAGGTAGCGGACGGCGACGGCGGCTGCGGATGCCGAGGCCGATGGCAAGGGGACGATGGAGGCAGTGGACGGCGATGTGCGGAGGCAGCGGACGGAGACGGACACGGCCGCGGCGGCGTGGATGAGCCGACGGCAACGAGATGGGTGAGAGTGAGAGTGAGAGTAGGAGGGTGAAGTGGGGCAAGGGAGGGGCCGACGTGCGTGTGTGGATAGTCGATTGAGCTTGGCGTGTGCGACGGGCGCGCCAACCAGCCCGCCATTGCTACTTTGGGGTGGCGGGCGGCAAAGTTGATTTGATTTGGAAACGACCACACACCTAACTTAGTTGTGGCGGTTGCTGGCAGTTACCCGCCACAGATAATATCTGTATATAAAAATTCGGTGCCGGTTGCAGGCACTAAACTGTAGCGAGTAGTACAGTGCGCCCGTCAGTGTTGCCTTCCAGAGCAGTGGCGAGCTATTATATACACCCGCCATTGACCACATTCATCATGTGGCCATGCTCAGCGGTGCTTACTTGTGGCGGGTAATATAAGGCATCTGCCACTGCTAGCCCAGTAGCTCTAGCGGTCACAGTGTGTCACCCGCCATTGCTTGCTTTCAAAAATAGCTGATCCGCTATTAATTGGGGTTCATCTATAAGCCCTTTTTCAGTAGTGCGACTACCGTATAGAGCTAGCACATGGGCTCATGGCGGCGCCGCTCATCAAGTCGTGACTTGTCATTCCGCTCTCTTACCTCGGCAGGGGCCGGTGATTGCTATGAAGCTCCTGCTGGCAACGACGGCACACGAGGCGCACATGTACGATCCGACGACAAAGACGCTCGAGATGGTTGCCTCCATGGAAGATGAGGAGAAGAGCGGCTGCGACGTGCCGGAGTTTATGGTGGACCGGCTGCCCCTCGTGCTGTGTTAGGAGAGTCTTGCTCATGTCGCCGGCATGGAATACGACGAGGACGCCATTGGTTATTCAGTTCTCCTCGCAAAAGATGTCTTGCCTGGCTCGCTGTTGGAAATAGACTCGGGACCGCCGGTAGTGTTAGAGCATCTCCAGCCGTTCGGCTTTCCAGGGCGCCTAAAAAGAGCGGCATGGGAGCGAACCGGCGGTAGCTCGGTCCTTGGGGGCGACCTAGCTCTCAGTCACGCCCCCAGACGCCGGCCTCAGGATGCGGAAAATTCGAACTTGGTCGTTCTCGCTCATCAGAAAAGACGCCACAAATCCGGCAATCACAAGTCACAGCTCGGCGATTGGATGTAGTCTAGCGTACAAAAAACAGAGCGCCGCAAGTTCGCGTGCGCAACGAATCACTCGGCGGGGTTGGCTTCAGGCGTCGGCGGAGTCGGCGTGCGCGGACTCGGCGGTGTTGGAGCTGCTTCGGTGCTGGCGGTGTCGGCGCGGTTTTGGTGCTGCTGGGCGGCGTCGTGGAGGCGTCATCACCCGGGCTTGGCGTGTGCGTCGACGTCGGCGTCGGCGTCGGCGGCCTTGTCGAAGGAAGTTGCTTCAAGATGAGACCGCGCTCCGCCAAGTACCACGCCTTGACCGCCTCGTCGGTGCTCTGGAGCATGTCTGCCCCGCCCAGCAAGAAAGCCAGGTCGGTGTCGGGGAGGCGAGCGGGAGGGAGATTGGCGGGAGGAAGGAGCGGGAGGGAAGTGGGGAAAACGCGGGAAGAAACGGCGGGAAGAGGCGCTCGCCTCGCCGACAGGGCGGACCCACGCACCCTTTTCGCTTGTGCCGGCGCCCCAGGCGTCCCTCAGGAAGCCGGGTTCGGCCTGGATTCGTCGGCACCAGTTTCGACCTGAGCCGGCGAAAAACGGGCTTCTGGGAACGCGATTGGGCCGTTTTTTCGACGCCGGCGCGGCAAAAACGCCTGAAGAGGGTCTGTTGAAGGCACGGCTGGAGATGCTCTTAGGCTGCACGGGCGAGGCTGGTCGAACCAGGACAATTGCGTTCTGTAACACCGGAAACCTGAGATAGTGATTCACATTATGATCCTTGCTAAATGTTTTCATCTTTTTTCTCAAAAGATATGTGGTTTTAATTTTGTTCACACTACCGGAGTAAATTGTGAAAGACCTCCGCAATTGGGGCAAGGATCCCCGAGCATGGATATCACTGTTCATCACGACTGACGAAAGGTTGCTTCGTTAGTTTACTTTTTTGTGAACAGATCAATTTATCTAATTCAACATAGTTTCGGAGCTAAAATATAAGTATATCTCAAGTTCAAATCAAAACTAAAAATAAAAATACAGTTCCCTCTTACATGATAATGGATGGTCACAAAGTGAAGGCGACGAAGTATAACTATCACTGTTCATTACCACTAACGAAAGGCAGATCAGTTGACACACATCATGTTGCAACAAGCAGCGGTGTGACGGCACTGAGAAAAACTAACAAAACACAAGTTAACTAATACAAAATCGGCCATTGATTAGAAAACCCAAAGTCTCAAAGGGAGAAGAAAGAAAGTGGTGGAATTCACGACTCCAAATGAAGCAAGGTGAAACAAGCTCATGCATAGCTAACAGAATAAATCCGAAATAACCGTCTACTCATCCTTTCGGGGCTTTTTCTTCCTTGTTGCGAAACTACTTGGTCCAACAGCTTCCACTGACAATCGCTTTGTCCTGCTACAAGAGGAAAGGAAATATTATACCTAAGGGTATGTGTGACATCACGCATTATTCGATGAGAAGAACTGTTCTAGAATACCTTGAAGCCAGTTCCTCCGACACTTCATCATCCTTGTCAGCCATTTCGTCGTCATCCTCATCATCTATCATTTAATTTTCCAAATCAGATACAGAACATTCCATACTGTAAATTCTCTGTATGCGGCAACTTTAAATTTAATTGATAAAAAAGTGGAGTATGAAATTCTCCTACTGAATTGGTTACACAGCAGCAAGATAATCACTTTTGCTGAAGATCACAAAATTAATTTGGTGCGCTTTAACACCACTGAAAGAAATGATTGTGTTTGTTTTAACATTGCTGAAGAAAAAAGCTCAGGGATCACGAAATTCTGAAGCAAGGAAATGCCACGAAATGGTATTGAGCATATCACAATGTAACTACAAGATCTTGCACACATAACTTAAATTGCTTGTTTATACAATGTAAATTAAACAAAGGAGCTTGCCAGAGGATCATCTGATGATAAGTTCATAAGAGATAACAAGATCCCAAAAGGGAATTAAAAGATTCAGTCAAAAGTAAAACCTTGGCAAAATACAACATCTGATGAAATATTTTTAGCTTCTTGTGGAGGTACTTAACAAAAACATAAAGTTGCAAAAGCTGCCACTAAGAAGTCTCTATTAGACAAGTAACTGAAAACAAAATAACTATCTACTTATAGGAATGCAAATCAACTGATGACATTCCACTCAATAGGTAATTCCTATATGCACATTGCCCTTGTATTAGCGGTGAGTCAAAATTCACATCCCACCCAAATTGCATCCCTACACATAGGCTGGCTCTTGCCTTCACTTAAAAACTACATGCTTGCAATCATCCTGTCCATTCATTGGCTACAGAACTACAAAATGGACAAATTTATGCTTCTCATTTTATCTGAGAAGATCTAAGAGCAACAGTTTGAACCAAATATTATATTATGTGATAAAGCAAAGGGGGCTGCTACGCGTCCGTCGGTGGATGAATTGGAAACATCGGCCGCCTCCTTCGCCGTTGGATTGAACCACAAATAGCCGCTGGATCTTCCCTGAGGTGCGCGTCACGAAATTGCAACAAGGTAGATGTTGCACAGCTCGCTCCGCAACAGCTACTTTGTTGCGAAACCACCGAAGTGTTAGACTCTATTGTGTTGCAACTGACATCTTGTTGCAGAAACATTTACAATAGAGATGGTGTTGCAGAATTATTTTCTTTTCGTCTTCGCCATTTTTTGCATAGATGTTGTTGCGGGAGAATTTTTGCAACTAAGGTGGTATTGCAGAATTTTTTGTTTTCTTCTAAACGTATTTTTTGCAACATAGATGTTGCCGCAACATGAACGATGTTGCGGAATTTTTTTTCAATGAAAGATGAACTGGAGAAGACGGGAGGCCAAGGAGAGACAGATGGGAGGGTAAGAGGAAGGGAAGGAAGAGGAAGGAGGTTGTCGTGGCGCAAGAGAGCGGCGGCCGGAGGGAGCTTCGGCGAAAAGGGGCGGCGCTGGCTGGAGCGGGATCGGGAGCACATCTGTCCCTCCCTGGATCAGGCGAGAGGAAGCGGGGATCAGGATAAGGTGGACGAGTGGCTGGGTTCATTCGAGATCTGTAAAGGAGATGATGTGGTGACGGGTCTCACAGGGACACGCATCATGCGAGGGACGCGGTCGATGAGCGAGGAGGATCCGCCGGTTGAAGGGAATTGTTTCCCTAAAGCAAAACATCTACCAAATATGTTCGAAATTATAGAAATGAACATTTGAGCTTTGTTTAATAAAGCAGTTACACATGATAAAAAAAATGGCACTTACCGGATGCACCTTCATCCTCTGCTATATCATCCTTCCCCGGAGAGGACTCCCATCGGTCTTTCCCGTCATCATCATCCCAACGACTTCCAACAGGAGGCACCCAAAATTCCGAATCATCTGAATCATCAATTTCTGGTTCAGGTTCTCGTGGCAAAGAAGGGTTGACAACAGCAGCTTTCTTCTTCTCCTTCTTCTCCTTCTTCTTGTCCTTCTTCTTGGTAGACTTGGATTTCTTTGCGACTTCATTTGACTGTTCACCTTCTACTTTGCCTGTCTCGCCTGATGCCATCTTTTCCTCTAGCTTTTCTGTCAAAATAGGGATAGGCATGTTAGATGTAGGAGCGACCAAACATGCCAGTGCAATGGCTTAAAAGCAGTATTGTATGGGAGATGAGAGTTCCACCAAAATGTATTCGAAGAGATGTACATGACCAGATATATTCCCAACTATTTCCAGACCAGTGAGAAGACAAATGAAACAAAGCGCTTATTGCAATTCCTAAGCAAGTTGCATAACAGAATTCTACCCAAATAACCATCTGCTATCAATCCATAGAAAATTGTTCAGAGAAAAGGACGAGCTAACATTTCATAACAATTAGTTTTGATGATAACCAAAATGATGCACATTGGTGTACAAGAGTACACCATGAGAAGCAGACAGATACATGGAAACGGTAGTGGGAAATTCATCATGGTCCTTTAACCAGTAGAGAAATACATGAAAAACAGAATGGTACATTTTATTAGCAGTAACAGCATACGATGTTCCATTTGCCACACGTGGCACCACAGACAGTATTGTGCAAAACTCACTTTACCTAGTTTATTCAGGAACCTCTTCCCATTTACATGCTTCCAGATGTGCTCCTCCGACTTGTTTATGGTGTCCCCGGTAATGTTGCATATGAGCTTGGACCTGCAACACAATTACCAACTCAATTCGACAGACTAAAGCACAGCCGAATTACAAGCAAATGAATCATACATTTATTTGTTAGTACTCTATGGAGTACTTGTTTGGCACACGATGTACGTTGAATTTAGAACCCTAGAATCCCTTAAGGGCATTACCGGATAGCGGATCAAACCGCAATGGAACCGAATGAGCAATCTACACTCCTAGACAAACTATTGGGGACAATCCACATTGGACACGCATCAGGCAGCAAAATACAGAGCAGAGGAGCGGTGCGCACTTGTGCTCGGGGTGGGGCTTGAAGGCGTTGAGCGGCGGCTTCTTGTGCGCGACGCCGTGGTCGATGAGCGCGAGGCGGCAGGCGCGGGACCGCGCGTAGGCGTCCTTCTCCCGCTCCGGCAGCTCGTGCCCCGTCTCCGCGCACCGCCACCGCCCGCCGCCGGCGTCCTCCCAGGTCGGCTGGCCTAGCAGGAAGCCGCCCTCCTTCTCCCCGCCGCCCTCGACGGAGCCCTGGGGGCTCGACGCCCCCGAGTCGGACGCTGAAGCGGCGGCGGCGGCGGCGGCCTTGCCCTTTTTCGCCATTAGGTCGTTGGCGAGTCGCGGGCCTGGAGGCCGTAGAGAAGAGGGGGGCGGAGGAGAGGAGAGGTGGTCCGCGAACCCAGGGTTTTGCCTGCCTGTCTCCTAGAAAAGAATTCTAGGAGACCAAGTCTGAGACCCATCGTGGCATTCACAAATCGTGTGATTTATGAATGCTACGTGTTATTCATCAGGACGGATCTCACCTGCTAACCGTGAGATCTGATTTCATATAATTTTTTTTTCGAAGGCTTTGATAAAGTTTTTCCTTTGCTTTCCTATGATGAAACGGGAAGAATTGTTGCCAAAAAATGCTGCATTTTGGCACCGCATTATCCATGTCGGCCACCCCCCACATTTGAAATTTTGGTTCTCGAATTTCAATTTTAATTTTCACGCTTACGAGTCTGGGCTCTGTTTTGAATTTCCGAAGCAGCCAGACTTTTCTACTCCCTCTAGTGAGGTCTTTTTTTTAAGGAACTCCCTTGAGGTTTGTAGGGTCGACGCAGGATTTTAGATTTTTTATTTGAGAAACGAAACATATGTTATATACCATTACAAACTTGTAATTTTGACGGCACGTAACACATATTTTATTAGTTAAAAATTGAGAACACACACCCATACACCCGACCAGTGGGCGTAAGAAAATGCCTTCTCTGGTTTAGCATGCGCGAGGCTAGCGATAAGAGCTACCTTGCCTCACTTAAACTCGGCTCAAGTAAAAAACAAAAATCCATTTGGTTTGGCTTCCAAGCAAGTCTGCCTGACCCAGGCAGCGCTCCCAGGCGCCGTCTGGGGCTGAGAACGATGCCTCAGTCCTCCATCCAACATTCAACCAAACATCTCCCAGGAAAAAGTTCACATGGCCATTTCTTCCAGCAACATCCATGGTATTCTCACGGTATGTACTCTAAGCTCACACTGGAAAGTTATACAGCGACTATTTGTTCAACCAAACAGTACAACGGGGCCGACAATACGGACACCCCGAACCGACCAAACATCTGTGCATCCGGAAAAAATGAAGTTACAGCAGACTATCAGCAACCCTTGCTATCTAACCCTAGCTGGATGTTGGTACAACAGAGCTGCTGCTGTGCGCAATTGCACACCATGGTACAGGGGGCTGAGGGGCGGCCCCAAGCACAACATATCTAGATGAATTAGCACCTTTACAGATGCGCCCGCCCTCCTGCGCGCACGCACAATGCTGCTTTACCTACAGGGACTACAGTCAGAGGGCGAGGCGGCGGATCAGAGGAGGAGGGATAATCGGCTCCAGTCAGCTTCTCTATGGAGTAGACCTGTCCAGGAACAGCCTTGTGAGCACTTCGTCCCTCTGAAGCGGTGCTCCAGTCTGAAATGCTCGCTCCAGGACCGTTTGCCATTCCTTCATCAGGGACTCCTTTATTTGTTGTATGGTGGTGTACTCCTGATCCATGATCAACTCTAGCTCCTCAAAGTGTTTGATCTTGTATTGGATCTTTCTTAGCTGCCAAACATAAGAAAACAGCCGTCAGTGATTAAAGTTAAACAACTTGGTCAGCATCTATGATGTACTCCCTCTGTAAACAAATATAATACGCTTTAGGTCACTAAAAGACCTAAAATGTCTTACATTTGTTTACAGAGGTAGTACCTTTCAGCTAAACCTAGAAACCCAAAATACACTACACTTCTGAAAATTTAAGCAGGGAAAGAGGAAGACAATTCACCTGAGTTTCAATTATGGACGCCATTAGAAGCTCCATCTCTCGCTCTTCCTGGTCCACAAGCATCTTCGCGCGGGCAGCAGCTGCACCAACAGCTGTTCCAACAGCTGCCCTCACTTGATATGCGGTAGAAATAAAGTTTTTTTCCGTTTTCTTATCTGGCATTAATGACAAAGCATTAGTTTGAGGTTGTGCAGAGCAGTCATGGCACAAGTAGAGGCCAATAGGCTGGAAGCTCCATTCTTTTATTTTATGGAATTATATCAGCTGGCAGATCCAAACCAGAATCTGCAGTTCACCAATCTGGCAAACTACTTGTGATAGGCAAGCATATAAACATTCTAATTCAGTGTGGTACTGGGGGTTGCATCAGTTAATACAGGTGGTATGGGAGCATGCCAGGTGATGTAAAAAAGAGACCCTATTAAAGGTCTAATGAGACAGGTGGCATGACTAAATTCATAGCCCTGGCTCACCAATTTCATTCCGTGAAAAACAATCAAACAACAAATAACCCCAGATGGCATGTCTCACAAGCACCATCCAGTCTGTGAAACCGTGAAAGCACCAAGCCCTCTGATAGCCGTCAACACATGTACATTCTGACATTTTCTGCTTAGATTTTGTCAATAACCCAAATTTAATCTCTACTACCTCATAAATTGGAGCTATTGGTGGTGGTGACTTCACTTCCCACTCTACCCGAATCTCCCTCATCTATCTAGAACCCACCAAACCCCTCTGGTTTGGAAGAGTTCACTACCCACCCCATCTGAATCTCCCTCATCTATCTAGAACCCACCAAACCCCTCTGGTTTGGAAGAGTTCACTCCCTACCCCATCAGAATCTCCCTCATCCATCTAGAATCCACAAGACCCCTCCGATTTGGAAGAATTCACTCCCCCACTCCACCCCAATCTCCCTCATCCATCTAGAACCCACCAGACACCTCAGGTTTGGAAATAAATAATAAAGAAAAGGTAGAAAAATAATGCAGTTGGGGAGCCTCGAACCTCACACATGCCACGACACCCAGCTTGACCAAACCAGCAAGCGACCACCTCACTCATGTTTTAAATGGGAAACTATTTTATAAGTAAAGGTCGGTATGTATTTTTTTTACCGTAACACAAACCAACCAGTCAATGCACCAATTATCATTTTTTCCTGATGTGGCTGCTCCCCAAT